CTACAATTTTTGGACCACCATTAGTGTCAAAATAATGGAGATACGAAAAAAAAAAATCGTTTATTATTCTGTATTTCAATTTTCATTTAAAACCGTATGCAATTTTACTTCTTTCAACATTGTGTTTATTTATTATTTTTGTACCTTTTTGTTTTTAATTGTTAAATTATAATAAACATAAAATATAAAACAAAAATCAGAAAATTTATAGAAATAAAATATTTTAAATATAAAATTACGTATATGTCTTCAAAATTATTATTTTTATATAAATGTCCTAATTTAAAATGCATAGAATTCAATTATAACCGACTTCACATAGGACTTGAATTCGATTATAATCGTTTTTTTAATACAATATGAAAGTCGATTATAATCAACTTTTGTTTTAAAGAAAAGTTAATTATAATCGACTTTTGTATCGTCATATAATTTATTTAGAATTCTGACCTAAATGAAAGAAAATTGATAATTTTAATTAAAAGTTAATAATTTTAATTAAATTTGTTAATATTTTTGTATAATAATTTTATAAATTATTAAATAATATCAATGTAAAAATAATATTTTAAAGGATAAATTCTAAACTGCATAAAATTTAAATTCCAAAGAATAGAAAATTAAAATTCTAAAATAGAGAAAATTAAATTTCAAAATACATAGTGCACAAAATATTTAGATCACCATGCTATGGGCCATGCCTGTTGCGTTTGGGTCCAACAAGGTGACTCTCTGTTGCACAATGACGATATACAATCTGTCGTACAGGTCTACGGTGTGCATGTTCCTCCTCCTGCTGTTGGATAGGTGTGTGATGCTCCTTCTCCGGTGAACCATTAAATGAGGGAGTTCGGATATATGTTGGTGATGGTCAATATAGATTATTTGGTGGTGGGACAAATTTGCTTGTACATGAAAGGTGGACTGAAAGATATATGTCGTGCAATATCATCCTGAGCTAAACCTGTGACAAAATGTTGCATAAGATTGGGAGTAATCTCAGAATCTGACATGAACTAATGATTAGGGCCTGCCACAAAATACTGACTAGGGGTCATACATGGTTGGCTAGGGCTTGGCATGAACTGGTGCTGAAAAACACCAGCCATGTATTGCTTTTGGCTTGGTCCTGACATGAAGTGATGGCTGGGGTATGTGGGTGTCGGGTGGTATATATAGTGTGAGGTATGTTGTACAGTTGAATTTGCATCAGCTTCTACATCGTGTGTTGGGAGGTCAGCTGATATATGCGCCTCATCACGGTACTAATATCTACTAGCACATGTACCTGCACGTAAACGATACATGAAAGAACGTCTATCTGGAACGTCATCAGAGTGTGTTATGTCAGGTGCTGGGGGGCATGTAGTGGTACACCGTCAGGTAAGTCCCTAAGCTCTTCATCCTGTGGGCCTCCATCCAACGATAAAAATCTATTAGCGACTGACAAATATCACTGAAAGTACTCGATAGAGGAACGATCATCATCAGCTAGAGGAAATAGAACTTGTCGGTCCCTACGTGCTTCCATACTGCCATGTCACATGATAATCAGATCACCATATATCTAGATCACTGCTCCCATCCTTAGCGTGCAGCCGATTAATATTTATCGGGCTGATTGGTACGTGTTGTACTCCACCAAATTGTCGAACTACGCGATTAACAGAGTGTCACTCAATCACAGTAAACTGTATAAGAGCAGTCACAGATGCCTAAACATCAGCCTCATCATAAATGAAAGGAGGTGTAATGTTCCTGACCTCATTGTTGTTGTAGGGCGTCCACCTAAACTGAGATAATAAATAACAAATATTAGACCAAAAAATAAAATTATTTAAAATAAAATAATTTAGTAACATAAACTTTGTTTGAACTTACCCAAAAATGCCAATTGAATAAATGATCCTCCTATATCGCATTAATTTATCTGTATTTGATCTCGTCAATGACTTATAACTTTTCCACTTGAAATAGGCATAATTAGTTTTTACTTGCAACGTGAACATATATAAATAACAAAAAAAAAAATTATTGATAGAATTAATTTGTACCTCAATGCTAGTGGAAGAGTGAGAGGATGATGGTTCCTAGGGGCTAACTGAAGTATTCTATACCATGCCCAAGACTGTAGAAGAGGCAAACAACATGCAATCTCGATGACATTGTATTTCATCGCACGACAAAGCTCAGGATAAAGGGATACTAGAACAGGAGAACCCCAACTATAGTTTGAAATATCAGTAAAATTAGTTAATAGAGATAGTCACTTCATATAAACCCTAAATCTTGATTTATCTGAAAATAATACTCCACCAAATATTATTATTATGTATGCTCTAGTGTAACGAATAATAGTCTATCCATTAGTATTGTAAGGTAATGCTTCAAATGTATCTATGAATCACTGTAAATTTACAAAAAATCCTTTTATGTTACTCTCATCAGGAACTGCTCCAAGTAAAGCTTTACACAATGTCCATATATTTTGATCATAAAATTTTTTCCACGCTCCAATGCAACCACTAACAGGGACCCCATCTACACGTAAGCCTAGCTTAAACACAATATCTTCCAAAGTAATCGTACATTCTTCATATGGAAGATGAAATGTGTGTGACTCAGGTCTACAATGTTCTACAAGTGCACTTATGAGTGTCCTATCATAATCAAATATTGAGACCATCTATGCATCATACCAAAAACCAGTCTCCCTAAGAAATGGTTCCATTCTTGAATTTGGAGCGACCATCATATTATAACATCTATTTTTCAAAATACGAGATTCCTGTATAATAACAAAATAATATATACAAAATTATTATAAATTATAAATTACTACAATACAAAACTAATTTATCATAATAATTAAAAATATATAATAGAATTTTAATTTACATTCCTTAGTATAATAATTATAATTATAACAAACAATTTAATTTAATTTACAATATAATAATTAACATTTACACATCTTTCTAAATAATAATTACACAATTAATAATACATTAAATTAATTAAAAAAATAATTAATTATAATTAACTAAATATCTTTAAAAATTAATTTACCTATGTGTTAAGCTTGCTTGCAATATGATCAATAAAATTGAGTCGATATAGATCATTATCCATTTTCGTCCACTGTATATGCTTTTTTCCAATCTCACTTTCTCTAGTCTCAGCTCTCTATGGTGGCGCTTTTTTTTATCTCCATTTCTCTATGGTGGTTGTTGTCTATGGTAGGGAGGGGAATGGTATATCTAAAGTAGTCGATTATACTCGTCCCTAAAATCACACTGAAGTCAACTTTAATAAACTTCCCTTTAACATGCAAGTCGATTATAATCGACTTCAAGGGACCAAAAAGCAGCAAGATGAAAGTCGACTTGAATCGACTTCTTTGGAAGCTGAAAGTCGATTGTAATCGTCTTCCTTGCAGTAATAAAGTTGACTTTAATTGACTTCTATTGTAGCATCAATGGCGAATCAGAGTCGGCTGCAATCAACTTCTGTAGGATAGATAAGTCGTTTTTAATCGACTTCAATGTTTCAGATATAGGACATTTGTGTAAAAAACAAATTTTAAGGACACATGCGTAATTTTGTTTTTGAAATGTTTTATTAATGTAAAAAAGCCACAAAAATCAAAGTTCATCATAATATTAATAAATATTAAACAAATAAATAAAATTTAAGAAGTGTTATATATATATATATATAGTTGTTTCCATTTATATTTTTAAAATATATTTTATTGACAAACTTAATGTAATAACATGCAATAGTAATATGCAATTTTAAATTGCCCTCTAAGATGTTACATAATCCTAAGAGATGTACAATTCCAATTGTCATTTACTTTATGCACGGTTGATATTCTTAAATTCAAATTTTATACAAATAAAAAAATTATTCAAATTTTAAAAAAATTTCAAAGTATTTTCTCTCCAAATTTTAACCTTTCAAAAATTCCTAAAATATTTTATCTTATAAAATTTCAAATAATATAAAATATTATTTGTAAAATTAAAGTTAATATTTCAAAAAATAAAAAATATTTTTAAAAATTATAAAAAAACAAAAATATCTTCTTTCGAAAATTAAAATAATTCAAATTTCATTAACAAATCAAATTTTTTTTTAATAAATCCTTTTCAAACCAAAACAAAAAAATATCAAATCAATTTTCTTTTTTTTTCCACGAAGAACCGAAAAATTGAAATTGTCCTTTCAAAGTTTAAAAACTATGTAACGTTTTCTTTTGGCACTTAAAGATATATAGTAACGAGAGCCAGACTCGTTAAACTGAAATATTTTTAAAAAAATATTTTTCCTTTGTATTCCAATATTATTTTTCAATTCTTTCCTTTTTTTAAAAAAATAAATAATTACTTCAAAGTCCTTAAATTTTTATTCAGAAATAATGTCTTAAAATTCTTTCCTTTTTTACTCTAAAAATAATGTCTTCAAATATTTTAACTTTGTTTTCCAATATAATATCGGAACTTCTTCCCTCTATTTTAGAAAAAATTCTTTAAGTTCTTTCCATTTTTATGCAAAATTTTTCCTTAAAAATATTTCCTTTTTAAAATATAACCGAAATGAGGATTTTAAAATTTCTTCCTTCTTTTTTCTGAAAATAATAAAATTAATTTTGTATTTAATTTTATTCAATTTAAAATTAAAAGGAATATCAAAATGATGTAAGGTTCATGTAGATAGCTTTTTTATAATTAAAAAATAAATAAAATTTTTAATGTGTGTTCCTTTATTCAAAAAGAAAGAAAGAAAAAAGGTTTGATAAATTGGAAAGGATGCAAAAAAACAAGGATAAAGATGAATATAATGCAAAATAAAGGTAATAATAGAATAATTCATTCAAGTTTTATTTACTACAAATTTATTTTATTTTCAATGAAACTTATACATCTGTTTGTTTGTTTGATATTTAAAGTCTTGCTTGTATAGAATCAAAATAGAATCAAAATAGAATCAAAATCCTATACAATAGAGGTGACCACAATGGGGCTCCTAACCACATGCTTCGCGTCCATCCAAGTGAGATACCCGAAACCATCAATTTTTGGACCTTCAATCCTTAACTTGTAACTTAGCTTCTCATTCTTCTCCTTGAAAACCAATTTATCGGGGATAACTGTAACTTGAAACCCTTTAATGGGTGTAACGCTAGCAACATAGTTTGTTCCTCCCTCCCCAACATTGGTCACTGTTCTTTGAAATTCTTGAACTATCTTTGACTCTGTAGAAGAACCGTTATACAATGCAATAAAAGAAGGGTAGTTAAGGTCCAAGGAAAGTTTGGAGCAATTATTCAAAGAAGATTTTGTGATGGTGGTGATGTTCTTTTGCGTGAAGTTCAATGCACAAAGAAGATTAACATAATCTTGAACCACCAAATCATAAACAAGTCCAGGATCAAGGGCTTTGTTGGGGTTGACATGACCAGCTCCCAAGGCTAAAGGAGAGGCTGGTTTGTAATCACGAGCAATGTCTTTGATGAGTTCCTTAGTGTTGTCAAATATATCCGATGTTGTCATAATGGCTGATCTAATAGCTGCAGGGCTCCAATCAGGGTGTGCTCCTTTCAAAAGTGCTCCCACACCAGCCACATGAGGGCATGCCATTGATGTGCCACTTAAAAAATTGAAGTTACTAAACGTTTTATCAGGTGCATACACTGACACTGGAATGTTTTTAGGCCATGCAGCTAGGATTGATGTACCAGGAGCAGTGATGTCAGGTTTCAACACAAATGGACAACTATTTGAAGGTCCTCTAGAACTATAAATATCCACACTTGGTGCTGGTTTAGTGCCTAAAACTGTTATCCCAAAAGACATGCTTGCCTTTGTATCAGTGCTATTGCTGATGTAAGCCTTGACAATTTCTCCATTTGTTTGGTTAATAATGATGGAAGCCAAAGTATTCTGTAAATTGAATGAAGTGTCAGTGCTGTTTGATATGAACACGGCCCCTGTAACTTTTGCTGCTTGCACATAAGTCACTTGATCAAAAATGGTTCCATTCTTATCTTCACACACCACAATCTTGCTACTCACATTGACCAATTCCTTCACATTATTACACATGCCCATGAAAACTATTGGAACTTGGAGGGCAGAGAAGTTACCTAGATAGAGTGACAAGCCTGATATGTTGACTCCATTGCCAAGTGTAAGAGTGCTGTGAAATTCACGATCCAAGGTGCTAGCAGCCACTGTTGTGACCCATGGTATTCCATTATGTAGAGTTCCACCGAGAGGGCCAGAATTTCCTGCCGAAGTGGACACAAAAATTCCTTTTCCAATGGCTGCAAATGTGGCTATAGCAATAGGGTCATTATACAAGGGTAAGCTGTTAAGGCCAAGTGATAAAGAAAGAACATCTACCCCATCAGATATTGCACTATCAATTGCGGCTATTACATCAGATGATACGGCTTCTTCATTCCACACAGCCTTGTACATGGCTATTCTAGCCCTTGAAGCCACCCCTTTTGCTGATCCATTGGCATAACCAAAGAATGATACATTGTCAACTTGGCTTCCAGCTGCGGTTGTTGATGTGTGAGTTCCATGACCGTCTGTGTCACGTGTTGAGTTCACAATTTTGGCTTGGTTGGTTTGCTTGGTTAACAACCCTTTGTTGAAGAATCTAGCTCCAATGAGTTTGTTGTTGCATAATGATGAGTTGAATTGGATGCTATTTTCACATTGGCCTTTCCATCTTGAAGGGATTTTGGTCAACCCATCATCTTTGAAGCTTTCACTTTCTGGCCATATTCCAGTGTCCACTAAACCAACAATAACATCCTCACCAAATTTAGAAGCAGGCCATACTCCTTCATTGGGATTGAGGCCAAGGAATTGAGGTGAGTGTGTTGTGTCAAGCTTGGCAGGTAGATCTGGCATGGAAGAAATGTACCCCAAAGAGCTTTTGAGAGCTTCAAGCTCTTTAGGTGACAAATTTGCACTGAAACCGTTCATGACGTTGTTGTAAGTGTAAATCAGCTTAGAAGAAGCAGTGTTATGATTGTTGTCATTGGTAGTGACTTGAGAATTGTCCAATGAAGTGGAAAGAGTGGACTCATACCAACTATGGTGACTAGAGAATGCTTTTGGCATGGCTGATATGTCCATGTGAATGATATAGTTATCAGGCTGAGCCAACGTAGAAATGAGGTGAAAGACTATGATGTAAGAGAAGCATACACACAGAGAAATATTGGTGGCCATCATTGGAAGGTATTTTGAATGTGGATATGGCTATTGAGCACCAACATGCAACCGAAGGTTTATTTATATATACAAAACCCAGAAATTAATTTTCCTTATTAAAAAGTTGAAAACTAATCCCCCCCACAAGATATTTTTCACCCTAGATTTTAATTGCAAATTAAGGCGGCCCTTAATGATTTTACGATTGTTTCTGTTAAAAGTGTGATGAATATTTTTACTTACTAAAGAAACAAAAATTATAATATATAATTTCCATATTTAATATCCTTTTAGACAAGTAGGAAAACAAAAATTAATTGTAATTAATTATAGTTAGAGAGAATAATAACTCTCCATAAATTTTCTTTAAATATTTGTCTTTCCTTTTTTAAACGCGTTTGTATCTTTGAATGATTTTTTAAACGATATTACAATCTTGTTATTTTTCATTTATTTTGAAAATTTTAGTTAAGTAATTAATTAATGGTAAAAGAAATTAATTAATTATAAATATAGAATACGAAATTTTTAAAAAATTATTTTTGTTATTTATTTTGTCCCATATTTATATCGTAAACGATTAATACACTGTATTTACAATCTTATTATTTTTCATTTATTCTGAAACATTCAATTATGTGATTAATTAATAAATATTTAGGATGAAGTAAATCCAAGTTCTCCGTAAGCAATCTTTGAACCCGACTTTTCTTGCCTTGGACCCTAAAATTCTTGTACTGAAACCAAGGTATTAATATAATATATATATATATATATATATATATATATATATATATATATAAGAAAACTATGAGATTTAAGTACATAAACTATTATATATACAGTTTTAAATTTGTCTCTGTTTTTTCTTTTCCTCTTCATCAAAAAATAGAATAAAACGTTAATTTAATTTACAAGAAATCGACAGTCAACAGATATTGACACGTTATAAGAAAATCAATATGTATTCATATGTAAATATAAATAATAAAATTGTTTTTAAAAATATCTAATCGTTAAAAAAACATATAATTTAAAAAGATTAATATTATAATGAAAAATAAAATTACATAAAAAAAGTAATTTCACAAATATTGTTTACTAATGCAAATATAAGTTATTAGATAATTTGATAATATATAATTTTATTTTTATAAATAAATATTTATGAAATTATTTTATTACTTTAGTTTATAAATTTTTATTTTCTCTAATATTTTTCTTTAGAAAGTTATTGCATAAGTTATATTTATATAAACATAAATTTGTTAATTTAATTATATTATTTTATTCTTAAATAACATATTAAATTTTAATTAATTATAAATTTCTTAAAATTAATGTATTTATTATTAGATTCATGTATGAATACGTCATTGATTTTTGTATGACCGACTCTCTTATTTATTGTAGGATAGATTGACCCTTTATTATTATTATTATTATTAACAATAGTATATTTGAAAATTATAATTTTATTAATAAAATATTATTAAAATGAATATATATATATATATATATATATATATATTATTTAGATATAGACATGGTTATAATATTTATTTTTTTTATAAAGTGACACTTTCTTGCTGACCGTTGACATGTTGCACAATATATTTTATTAATTTATATTATTATAATTAATATATTATTTATATAGATTTAAACATCGATACATTACTGGAGAGCACATGACGAGATAATGATCGAATTTTAAAATACACAAATTGCTTTAAAAATAAAATAAGTTGCCATCAAAGCTTATTTTTAAAAAATAATTAAAAAGATGATTTTTTAAATTTTGGATTCAGAAACTAGTTAACACAGCTATTTCAGAAACTAATTAAAAAAGTAATAAAGATTAGAGAGAATTTGAGGAAATTATTTTAGAACAAAAATATGAATGATTTTAAGACAATGTTTTTGAATAAAAATGGAAAGAACTCAAACTAATCGTTTTGGAATAAAAATAGAAATGATTTGAAGAAAAAATTTTGGAATAAAAAGGGCAAGATTTAGAAGTTTTTATTTTATAAAGAAAAATTGGACAAATATTTTAAAAAATTTAAAATAAAAGAATAACAAGATTTGAAGAAATTAATTGAAATACAAAGGAAAGGATTTAGACAAATCGTTTGAGGGTAAAAAATTTAATTCAAAAAATTTCAAATAATATACAGACATTATTTGAAATAAAAACGAAAATAATAAAGAAGTTCCCTTCAACGAATTTGACACTCTCTCCTACGGATCTTGCAATGAAAAAGTCAGTGTCACAGTTTTTCAAATAAATAACTAAAACAATTTAAAGTTTTTGTTCTTTGTTAAAAAAAGATAATAATAATTATTATTATTTCAATTTGAAAATAATTTTTTCTAGATTACAAGTGTCTTTGAATATTTAATACAGTTCAATGGAATTTGAACCGGAAACCACAAAATAATTTTTAAAAGAAGGTTGAAATTTAGCTTTTAAAGATTATTTTAATTTTTAAAAAAAATTAAGTCAATTTTCACAAAGAATATTTTTATCTTTATAGATTCGTAAAAGAAATTATTTTCATATTTTTAAGATCAAAGAAAGGGAATAGTTTTTAGATTATTTTAAAATATTAAAATTTGAAAAAATAAAATAAAATCATACATGTACTTCAAATAATTATGTGATATCCTGAGAGCAATCTAAAATTACACATCAATATTACGAATTATTGAGCTTATTACTTATGATATAAATTTATCAAATAATATAAAATTAAATGTAAATGAGACTGTTTTAAAATTAAAAATCTTGTTGCAGGGTTCAGAAAAATAAGTTATAGATAACTCCTTACAAATAAATAAGAGAGAAAATTCAAATAAATATTAATAGATCACACAATTTACAAAAAAATACAACAACAACAATAATAATAATAATAATAATAATAATAAACAGTAACGTCGATCATGCACTAACAAAATTACCTACTATATACGTTTCAAAATTTATTGTATTTACATTTTAGTCTTTATTAGGTTTTACAAGTTAAAATTTTAGAATAAATCTTGTTTAGCGTTTTTTTAGTTCTTCACGTGGATTACCTTTAATTTATATTATTTTTTTTTATAATAACATGTTATAGTTGTATTACAATTTATCCAAATTCTATTGTTCAAACGAATAAAATTTATTATTTTTCATGAAAAAAATTGTATGAAAATCTATATTTTCTTTCTCATGTCACAACACATTTTATCCAACAACTTATTAATAGATAAAATATTAATTACACTCTAAAAAGTATGAAGCAGATGAATCTGGAAATATAACTATTTTCCATAAAAAAAAAATAGTTAAAATAGTACATTTATTGTCACATTACACTGATATCACAATAAAATGACGATCAAAATTTAAAAATGGATAAAGAAAAATTCCAACCAAAGTTTAATTAATTAGGAAAAATATTAGAAACCTTTATTTAAAAATTATTCTATGAAAAAATATTTAAATTTGAAAATTGAGTATGAATAAAAAAAAGTGAAAACATCTTATATTATTTGTTTTCGTGCAATTACTTCAAATTAATTACACAAATCAAAATTTTTATTAAATAAATTAATAGATAAGTTTTAAATAGATATTATTTTTTTATCTTCTCTAATTCAAAATTTCTTTAAAGCATTTTTTTGGTACGATTTTTTTTAAAGCGTTTAATTTAATATATTATTGAAAACACAAAATATCTTTAAAATAGTATTACTCATCATTTAATGGATAAGATGACAACTATACTCAATTGTCGAGTACTGTCATGTTAACAATATAATGTGATAATTAAATTAAGAAGAAAGAGAGATAGAAAGAGGATTGAGGTGGGTGTAAAATTATCTTATTCAAAAAATTCAAAATAAAAATAGCTTATTTATTAAAAATGATGGATTTAAAATTAGGTATTAAAAAATTAATTATTTTTATTGATTACAAAAAATTCTATCCCTACATGTGTACGAAAAAGTTTAGTTGTGATGGATTATACTTATTTTGATGGTATATATATCTGTCTCAAAAAGGAATAGCTTTTGGCTGTATAAAGTAACAGTAAAAATTAGAGCATAAAAAAAAATAGCATTATGTCAAGTGAGAAATGATTGTTATTTAACATAGAAAATTTCTTTTGATAATCTACATTTTTCACTTGATTTGCATGGAAAGCACATCTCCCTCACAATATATTGATCTAAAAATTGAATTTGAGCGCGGTCACCACAATGGGGCTCGTGACCACATGCTTTGCGTCCCTCCAAGTGAGGTACCCAAAAGCTACATTCTTCTCTTTCTTCTTTATTGAACCTTCAATTCTTAATTTGTAACTTTGTTTCTCATTCTTCTCCTTGAAAACCAACATATTAGGGATGACTGTAACATGAAACCCTTTGATGGGTGTAACGCTAGCAACATAGATTGTTCCTCCCTCCCCAACATTGGTCACTGTTCTTTGAAATTCTTGTACTTCCCTCGAATCTTTTTGAGAACTGTTGCCATTGAAGAAAGCAATAAAAGAAGGGTAGTTGAGATCCAAAGACGGTTTGGAACAATCATTGGAAGAAGATTTGGTGATGGCACTGATGTTCTTCGGGGTGAAGTTTAGTGCACAGAGAAGATTAACATAATCTTGTACTTCTACATCGTAAACAAGTCCAGGGTCAAGGGCTCTATTGGGATTTACGTGACCAGATCCCAAGGCTAAAGGTGAGGCTACTTTGTAATCATTACCAATATCTTTGATGAGTTCCTGAGTGTTGTCAAACATGTCCGATGTTGTCATAATGGCTGATCTAATAGCTGCAGGGCTCCAATCAGGGTATGCTCCTTTTAAAAGTGCTGCCACACCTGCAACATGAGGACATGCCATGGATGTGCCACTTAACAAATTGAAGTTGCTAAAATACTTATATGACCCAAACACAGCCACTGGAACCTTTTGAGGCCATGCGGCTAAGATTAATGTACCAGGAGCAGTGATGTCCGGTTTCAACACAAACGGACAACTTTCTGAAGGCCCTCTAGAACTGTAACTATCCACACTAGGTGCTGGTTTTGTACCTAAAACTGTTATCTTAAAAGACATGCTTGCTTTTGAATCAGAGTTACTCTTGATATAAGATTTGACGATTTCTCCATTTGTGTGGTTAATAATTATGGATGCAAACCTATTTTCTAAGAAAAATAAACTTTCAGAGCTGTTTGATATGAACACTGCCGCGACAACATTTGCTTCATCAACATTAGACACTTGATCAAAAATGGTTCCATTCTTGTCTTCACACACCACGATCTTGCTTCTCACTTTGATTAGTTCATTTAATTTGTTACACAAGCCCATGAAAACAATTGGAACATGGCTAGAAGAGAAGTTTCCATGATAGGTAGACAAGCCAGTTATTTGGAGTCCATTGCCAAGCTTAAGAATCCCATGAAATTCACGGTCCAAAGTGCCAGCAGCCACAGTTATCACCCATGGAGTTCCATTATGTAAGGTTCCAAGAAAAGGCCCTTCATTCCCTGCTGATGTGGACACAAAAATGCCCTTCTCTATGGCTGCAAACGTGGCTACAGCGATAGGGTCTTCATACAAAGGGACATCATCAAAGCCTAATGATAATGAAATGACATCTACCCCATCTGATATTGCACTATCAATTGCAGCTATTATATCAGATGAGTAGGCTCCACCTTCCCACAAGGCCTTATACATGGCTACTCTAGCATGTGAAGCTATTCCTGTTGCAGATCCAGCAGCATAGCCAAAGTAAGAAGCACCCTCAACATGGTTCCCAGCTGCAGTGCTTGATGTGTGAGTTCCATGACCATCTATGTCACGGGTTGAGTTCACACCTAGGGTGATGTTGGGTTTCTTGGCCAATAAACCCTTGTTAAAGAACCTTGCTCCAATGAGTTTCTTGTTGCATTGTGATGAGTTGAAGTGGATGCTATTTTCACATTGGCCTTTCCACCTTGATGGGATTTTGGTCATCCCATTATCTTTGAAGCTTGCACTTTCTGGCCAAATTCCAGAGTCCACTAGACCAACAATCACATCTTTGCCAAACTTAGCAACTGGCCATGCCCCTACATTGGGATTGAGGCCAAGGAATTGAGGTGAGTGTGTTGTGTCACGCTTAGCAGGCAAATCTCGCATGGAAGAAACGTAACCTGGGGAGCTTTTGAGAGCTTCAAGCTCTTTAGGTGACAAATTTGCACTGAAACCATGCATGACATTGGTGTACGTGTAAATCAGCTTTGAAGAAATAGAGTTAAGATTATTGATTGCTTTGGAATTGTCCAAGGCTAAAGAAAGAGTGGATTGATACCAACTATGTCGGTCAGAAAATGCTTTGGGCATGGCTGATATGTCCATGTGGATGATGTAATTATCAGACTCAGCCAACGTAGAAACGAGGTGAAGGATTGTGAAACATATAGAGAGATAAATATGGGCAGCCATGGTTGAATGGTGTTTATAATGTAAATGGCTATAGAGAACCAATATGTGAGAGGTATAAATAGGGAACGCAGGGATATTCCTAAACTAGACCTACACAATGTTTTTCATGCTCAATTTCACAAAGAATAATGATCCCATAACATCCTATTCGGGGACCCCAGTCTCCCCTATGATTAAGGAGCAACGTTTGTCCTTGCAGGGGGACGATTTTTGTCCCATTTTGGACGCCTTTGTTTGCAAGCCTCCTTCATCAATAATTCCAAACTCTTGCATCATTAATGCTTTCTTGGTCCATATGACCATACTGCGAATATTAGTGTCCACAGAAAAATCGATTGCTTTCCCATGGTGAATGTAGAAAAAGGCTCTAAATTTGTTAATATTTACAACTGAATGACCAAGTAGCTACCCATGTATACTATCCTTGTTGATAGAAATAGTCATATTTATAACTTCTTTTTATCAGCAATAATAAGCACAGGAATACCAAAACTCATATACATCACAACTACGTCGATCTTCACTAATTTCATATATAACAAACGTTCATTTATCCACAATTCCTTGCCATGTATATAATATCTCACTGTCCATGGTTTTAAATTACCAGTTCCCTTCCTTTTGCCTATGCTATTTGAGCCTATGTATATAGCGCAAACATAATTTTTTATGGAGATATTATTCATAAATAATTTTATATCATATTTTTTTTTTCTATTTCTTGTTACTCAACAACAATAAAAGAATTTAACATACACACCCGAAGAGAGAGGGAAAGAGATTTTTTAACATGTGACCATGAATACTTTACAAGAAAATAAAAAATATTTTTTTATTTAAAAATATTTTTATATTAAAATATATAAAAGTCATTCAATATCTTTCTTTTAGTAATTTAAAGTCTTTAATAGAGTGCATTTTGTACCATGTAGTCATAAACACATTAAAAAATTAATATACTCCATCTATTTTTTTTCTTAATGTTGTTAAAATTAATGAAGCGTTTGGAATAATCTATAGATAGTTTATAAATATTATTTTAATAAATTATTTTTAATTTATTTCAATAGATTTTTCTATAATTTATTAAAATAAATTTTATTTTATTTTAATAAGTTTCACTATCAATTTTGTGTCATAAACTTTATAACATAATCATAAATTGAATAAATGATTAATTAATTTTGTATCTAAATGCACTAAAAATAATTAATATTTTTTATATTAAAATATGGAAAGAATATATTAGAGGGCTGGGATTGAATTTCAACGTAGGATGACACAGAGTGCCACAACGTAATTGGATCAAAATCGATCATTAGACTTTAGCTACACGGGAGCAAATTAACGTGAAGTTATTTTTATTTAAAATTCTTATTATACTTTTTCAACAAGAAAAAAGAGATAAATAACAAATAAAAATAAGAGAAATTATTAGATTGAGAGATAAGGGCAGAGAAATATATCGTGTATAATTTTTACTGAAAATAATATTATAAAGAGAAAAGGATTGTGTATTTAATCGGAGATAATTTAAATTTAATTGTTTTTTTAGGTTTAGATGTGATGTTGAAGTAACTTCCAGACATTCTTTTTAGTTTCTCCATGCTTTTCCAAATAAAAGCAATAATAAAAATTGTTTTTATATCTATTTTTTATTACATTATAGTTTTTTTTCTTTTACCTATTTTACATGTGTTAAATGATCATTTTCAATAATAATAGTAATAATAATAAATTATTTAATAAGTGAAATAACTAAAATATATTAACAAATACATAATTTAAAAGAATAATAATAAATACAATAATGTAATAAACAAAATAGAAATATATTAACTTATTTAAATGTCAACAAAATAAAAAATTACAAAAAACTGCTTAAAGAAAAAAATAATAATAATGACAACACTGCTCTAGAATAAAGATGATTGGATGTTAGACCAAGAGGAAAATGAATACTACCAAAAACAATTTATGAAGGTGTGAACAGAAGTCATTTCACGTGAGCGTCGCCGTCAAGGTTGAATAAGAAAAAGGAACAGTACATAGGCCTTTCCTCTCCTCTGTTTGATATTTTGGCAAAAAACAAAAATAAAATTGAAATCCGAACGGTGTCCAGTTTACACAGAAATTAGAATTTCAGTATATTTTTTTGTTTAAGAAATTTCAATTTATTTAAATAAAAATAAATTAACTTTACTTAAATTTGTGATAAAATAATTTAAGCTAATTTTTATAAAATAAATAGCTTAAACAAAAAAAAAAGTTTAAGCAAAATTAATAGGCTTAAATAAAAAATTGACGAAAAATTAATTTTTACTTAATCTTTTTTTTTATTTTTTTTTTAAACCTAACATTCTTTTTTCAACCTCTATATTTAATCTTCTTACTTTCATATTTAGAAATTATTCTTTCTCTTATATTTAACTCTCATTTTCACTCATAATTCTCTTTTTCTTCAACCTTATATCCAACTTATTACTTCATCTTTCTCTTCTTATTCTCACCCCATCCAATACCTATCTCTCTCTCTTTTATCTATACTCAACTCTTTTTTTAAATGACATAAAAAATTTTATAGGTTAAAATAGTAAGATAATATATCATAATTTAATCAAATTTCTCGTCACTCAAAGGTTCATATTTTTTTCCTTAAAATAATAAATATATCAGAATAATATTTTTATTCAATAATTCTATTATAACTTTTTTTATTTAATTCCTCTAAATTTTATGAGTTTTTTTATTAAGCTAACATAAAAATTGCGAGCTTTTGATTTAGTCTCTCATTTTAGAGTGAGTGATTAAATGAAAAATTCTAAAATTTAAGAGGATTAAACTTTACGAAGGATTTGTTTCAAAAAAGTAAAATTGATAGACTAAATAAAAAATGTAATATTTGAAGGGACAAAAAACTTAATTAAAGTTAAATTCATTATTCATCTTACTTGATTTCTTTTCAAATTATTTGTTCTCTTCAATTTCATTTCATGCATAGCAAACATGGGCTTGGGTTTTGAGATAAGAAAGGGAATCAGGATCCAAGCTCGTGGTCTCAGCATGTGGTCACAACTCACAATAGCACACAATAAACTGTCTCTAAGTTGATTTGAAAGGCTGTGTAAAAGTCTCCACGCGCGAAGTAAATGTAGTAGAGCCCATGCAGGAATGTGCCTTGTGATTTTCAGGCATGCTTCACAACCTTAATTTGTGGTTACCGCGACAAAACATAAATATCCCAGAAACAAAGTTGCCATATTTTTCCAATGTTTGAAGTATAGACTGGGTAAATTAATTATGAACATAATCCTCGTACATGTATATCACCATTCCTCACTCAACAAAATATAGAAACTTTGAATTAAAAGACTTGAAAATGGTGCGAGGTGATTATTGTGAAGTCTACTTTGAGTTCCAAAAGCAACTTTGAATGCGTGTTTAAAAAGTATATAAAACTATGTTTCAGTTTTAATGTTATAAATTGTAATATTAACGGCAAATACGCATTGAATTAATGCACGTCAAAAGGCAAATAACGACCACGTCAAAATTCTAGTGATCTATGCGAGTTTTAAAAGGAGCATTAGAAGGGACCTTCTTTTTTGTAGTGGGCGCTTGCACTTGGATGTGAGTGTTGTGGGAATGATAGCATCATATATTCGCGTTCAAGCAAAGTCTTTACCTCTATTCTTTTGGCCATTTTCAGTTTAGGAATAACGAAGGCTGTTAAAATATATATAAAGATTATCATTAATTGAATTATGATAAATCCCAGTGAAGAACTTATAAAGATTATCACTAGAGTAGCTAATGATAGGCCACAAAAATAATCACAACACTAAAAAGCTGAATATAATAAGCATCACTTGCATGTACGGGGTTATTTTTGTGGACACTATTTATCTGGTTACATAAAAATGTTATTAATTTTCAGAACAAATGCCTTAATTTTGAGGAGATTTTTAAATTTATTAAGATCAGATATTGGATTTGAATCTTCTGTTCAATTTTAGATTAGTTTCTTTAACACTAGAGCATATAAATCACAAGTTATTTCCTGTGATCTCGAGTTTTAAGTTGGAATAACACCGATAATAGTTCTAGTACTTCGTCCAAATCATCTACATTTCCCATTTATTAAGTTGCATTGCATCCAAAGCAGCTAGGTAGCGCGATAAATTGCAAAACCAGTTCTATTGCCTCGTTAATATGGTTTGAAATGACAGTGGAAGAATCTCTCGCTTTCACATCATTTTCACAAGTGCACGCGCAATTCATTAGATTCACCACTCTTTTAAGTTTTCTTCTTTTCTTTTTTCTCAACTATTTTTTGTAATATAATTAAATATATTGCTTTTTTTATTTATTTATGCAAGTGTTTATGCTAAAAATATATTATTTATGTTAAAATATCTAGCAGATAACACGAGCAAAAGTAATTTCATTTTCTTCTTTATATAGTCAGATCTTTCTTGCAGATTTTTTAAAGAGCCCAAATCACCCGCTTCGACTTTAAGTTTTTTAATTTTTATCTTTATTTAAATAGGTCAACCTATTAAACTTGAAAAGCTTTTCTAATGACTCGAAACTTAAAATTTTTAATTAAATAATTTTGTTTAGAAAATCATGAATAAACGTAAGTAGACTTTTATCTAAACTCTGAATTTTCATTTTTATCTAGATATTAAGGTTTTATAAAGAATGTGAGGCATTAAAAAATTTATACAAGTTATAAATTTAGGGAGGAGGACATATTGAAGATGAGTTTAATATCTGATACATGGGCCATTGGTCCACATCGTAGCCTGGGCTGTCATGCGTTGGAATACAGTTTGGAGATGGATTCTTTCTAGTTAAGTTTCTAACATTCAACCCACAAGAATTTTTGTTGACAAAAATATCCACAAAATATCTTTTAAAAAAATCAATTAAATTAGTTTTTGAGTATGAATATTGTCTAATGAGAATATCTTTACCATTCATAACCGTCCTACCAGTGGTCTATGCTTTTAGCAAAGAGATGTATGATTTAACTTAAGTTCTCAATTTTGTGAACTTTTTATTTATTTATGAAATTGATGTTTTAATAACTAAATTTTATGTTAAAATTTTAAAATAATTTGATTAATTTATAAAAAATTAAGTATAAAATTAAAATTCAAAGGTTTTATACAAAATTCAATAGAAAAACTAAATTTACTTTATTTTAAAAAATTAAAAATCAAAATCATACATAATAACAAGGGTATAAAAACTATAATTAACCTTTATTTTATCAAGACTGCATCTCATGAAACTTTCTTGAGCCTTAAAAATCTTATCTTCAAAATTGACAAATATAAGAGCAATATACATTTTACACTCTTATATATATATAAATCAGACCAAAAATATACACGTATAATTTGGTATATTCAAAAAGAATTTATTATTTAAATTAAAACATTATTTTTTAATTGGCTTATTTAATTTAAAAGGCTTCTTATCTTTTAGTCCAGACTACATGTATTGTTCATGAGAGACAATCTCTTTTTTAGCTGAGTAGGACTATGGACAACTCTTCCTCTAACGGGCTTCTTATCTATTTTATTAAATTATTGATAAAAATTTTAGATAAATGTTTAATTATTTAAATTTATTAATTGATTTTTTTCATTTTTAATCTCCTTTCGTGCTTCACTCTATTTCTCTCTTATTCATCATCTATTTCATCTCATTAATTTCCTCAATTAACTGACATAAGACGAAGCTAAAAAGCTCGTGGGTGGTGCTTGACATTGGGTTCTGCAAAGGCATTTGGAAGGAACTACCATATTCTTCCTCACTTAACTGTTCAAATTGTCAATGACAACCTCTGTAATGCGTCTTTCGAGAATTCAACAAATTCACGTGTCTTCCTCAGTCCAATTTGACAAAACAGTAACGAATCTCTAAATTTCTATAATCGAAGCTAATTCGACATTACTATATCCGAACCTTTTGTGTACATTAATTTCTTTGTTTTACGTTACATTCGTTATTTGATTTTCTTTTTGCTATTGACAGGTTTCCTGAATGCGAAATCCCCCTTTCCGAGCTTCGTCAAATCCATGAAATATCATAAATCAAATTAACTTCGTGATAAGAAAAAGCAATATAGAAATTATAAATATAAATCAATTATGCATAAATTATCAAAATTAAATATTAATCTAAGCCGCATTATTAATTTTAAAATTCACATTATGTTTTGAATGTCATGATAATGTTAATCATTCATTATAATATTTAATAGTTACATTTTTTAATCTAACACTAAAAGAAGTTTTCTTATTTAGTATATTCTACACACGCATGATTGAGATTTCAACTATTCAAAACAATCGTGATTCGGCATTATTTAAAACCAAATTACAAGCTCGTTGCATGTGATGTAAGCAACCAAGTCTAGTGATCACATAGTTTTTAGGGTACACGTAAGTTTTTATTTTTTTATTTTATTTTTACTCTTAGATCCTATGTAAATTTACCTTTAATGTTAACATAAAATTATCCTGATTTATTATGTCGTTATGTGAAAGTATAATTTCTAAAAGAAAAAGGATATTATATGTAATTTTATTAATTCTCAGAAAATGTGATGATCCGGAAGATCACTTGGTTTTTCACTTCATGGACGATATGGACACATAGAAACCAAGCGGTTCTAGTGGATTCAGACATGATCATAGAACTCATCAAGCTTAGGATCTGAATTTGGGTTAAAGGTAAGTCCATCAGACAATGGCTTTCCCTCTCTTTACGTGGAGTTTTTTTTTTTTTTTTCAGGTAACAGATAGGATTAAAAGGGTGGGAAGCTTTTGTTTTAAAATATTTCTTAACGTTTATACAAGAAATTAATACATAATAAATTTTAAAAATTATATTATTTAATATTATTAATTATATTAATAAATTTTTATTACACATAAACTTTTATCATGCGCACATTAAAAATTATTGTATCAGAATTGGATGCAAGGGTAAAAAAAGGTCATGATATGTACCTAACGAATTAAAATATTTATTGTACTCTTAATAAAATCATTCTCTAACCAAAAAATTAACTTAGAAAATGTGTGCAATTTAATTTAATGTTAAAATGATCTAATAACAAAGAAATAAATAATATATTTCACAAAAAAAAAATCACTTCATGTATCTATATACGATACCTAAAATAAAAAATATTTAACACCTACACAAAGAAATGAAAAGGATAATAATCAGGATCATTAAATAATAACAAAAAGGGAAATTTAAATTAAATTAAATAATTTAATCTTATTTATTCTAATATCCCCATCTTGTCTGACATAGAACCCTTCCAACTGCTGGACACACTCCACTGATCGGAATTTGCCACCGACGACGGCACCCCATTGCCACACTTAGCCACCGTTCTCACGCTCTCTATCAACGCCTCCGTCCGCGAATCTTGCGACAAAATCTCCGACAGCTTCTCCGGGCTTATCACCAACTTCACCTTCCACACTCCGCTATTATTGTACCTCGGAAACACTTCAGGTTCTGAGTACAAGTTGTTGTTGTTGTTGTTATTGTTTTTGTCGCACGTAGACATTCGGTATGGGGTTAATGTAGCAGTGGTGTCATGTAATTGTGTTGTCATGGTTTTGTTAGAAGAAGAAGAAGAAGAAGAAGAAGGGTTGAGAGGGAGGAGGTAGTAGACTTCACCGCCATGGAGCTCTTCGTTTTTGGGGAGAGGTTCGGAGAACAAGTTGCGGCGGCTTCGGAAGATGCCATGGCCAGGGAACTCGTTGGTTATGCATTCCACGGTTATGGGAGAGTAGAGTTCCATGATGCCTCCGTTTGAGGTAACCACTTTCACCATTGTGTCTTCCATCACGCCCTCATGCAACCCTTTGAACACGCAATTTCCCATTAGTTGTGTTTGTGAATTGTGCACTTGGAGATGTTGGTGTTTGGTTCAGACTTAAGAACTTAAGGTTAATTAAAAGGGTTTGGATGTTGGAGAGGGAGAGAGAAAGTTAGGAGGTTTCTTGATGGTTTCTTGGATCTTCATGGTTGGATCAATGACTAACCGACACAATTCAAAAAGGTATCAAATCCTTTTCTTCTATTCTATGTGATTTTGTAAATAGGATATTGGCATCGGATGGGAGCTATTATAGTGGGGTGGCCCCACTTTTCTTGTATTATTAGGAAGGAACTTGCTGAGATTATGACGTTCTTTGTGTACCGTCTGATGTGTATATGAAACAAACAAATATAATGTCAACGATTTGCAGATCATTGATTAGTTTCATAATTGCGTCAAACTGCAAAATTAATCAATCGAGCAATGCTTTTCTTAAGGATATTATCTGTTATATTTAAAATGAATCGATTTCAAGAAACGCAATTACGAAAATAAAAATAAAATTCATAAAGTTGAAGAATTATTAAAATGACAGTTATAACTTGAGAATTAATTATGAATGTTGGAAATGCTATATTTCTTATTACTTGGTCTTTTAACAAGTATTTAGAAGTTCGTGGACCGAAGCAAGATATAATCAATCTATTATTGGTGGAAGAATTCAAAGATTAAATACCAAAGGAATTTTTCTACTCATTCACCTTTAGCTATATGATAAATAAGATTTTATGCTTGAGAGAGGTGATATCTTTTTTTATTAATTAAATTAATTTTCATTCTAGTTATTAGAGATGTAAATTCATCTTTACTGCGGTGTATTAATTTTATATTTTGCAAAATTCTTAAACCATTAATTACTTTTGAGTTTTATGTTAAAAAAATTGTATTCTTGAATTTTAAAACAAATAAGTTTTTTTATTAAATATTTTTAAATTCTTTTATTAAAGTAAAGGACCCAAAAGTCCCATTTTAAAAAATATATAAATCTAAATTTTAAAAAAAATCAAGTAAACGAGATAGTTCTAATACTAAAAACGCAAAGCAATTTAGAAAGACAGAATCGATCTTAAGAAAGAATGACTCTAAATGTCTCTAATTGGTTATTTCCTTTTAGTTTTCAACACGAGTCTTATTTCTAAAGTTTGTCTCCCCCATTGGATGCCTTTAGTATGCCTTTTCTTACAATATTATAGAAAATGTTAGGTAATTTATAATGTCCCATTAATCTAGTCTTCATGTCATTTGTCATGGCAAAAGCCTGTTAATTGAATAAGAGACTGTTTGCAGCAAAATATTTGTAAATGTCTTTCTTATCTTTTAAATGCTATAAGAATGAGGTTAAATACATTGTTGTGAGGAAAAAGTATGCTTATTTTACTTAAACGTTAGTGACAATATAAAACTTTCTTAAATAACCAGAAATCATATCCCATAAAAATATACTAAACTTTATTTTCCAGATTCGTGCAATTTTTCACCCTCCTAATGAATGAACAGCTTAGACTTTGTCGTCTTCATGAATGTTTGTATTAAATTTTCATGGTTTTTCATAAACACCAAAATCAACTATAGTTTATATGTGTAATAAAAGCTACAATCAAATTAACAAATGCCAAAAAAAAAAAAAAAAACTCTTTTAGACTTTTAGAAATTTTCTCATTTCATAAAATACAAAATATATTTAATAGGTAAACATAAAAAATTTATTTAAAATAAACAATATATAATATAATTTTTATAGGAAGAAATAGCGATCCATGGTCTTCACGGTCAATGGTGGATTCATTTTCATTCGAGGGGTTGATATCCAGCTTACGTTTGCTTTTAGAAAGGGGACCCACTTTTCTCCGCCGGACATAAAAAGATGAGTGGGTGGTGTAAAAAGGTTGATAAATATTTAAAATGTAATCAATGGTGGATTCATTTTCATTGATGGGGTTGTTATGCATTTTACCTTTGCTTTCGAAAAGGGACCCATTTTTCACCGACGGACTAAAAAAGACGAGTGGATGGTGTGAAGGATAAATAAAAATGGGTTGTAACATTTAATAATAGTTAATTTGGTAGTGACCATTGCAAGGAGGAAGAAGCTTGGTGAAGGATGGGTTGGAATATATGCATCTACGTGGTAGGATAAGGGATTGAGATTGATGTGTAGGCGACAATGAAAGGTTAACAACATTGATTCCGGCGTGTCAAAATCAGAATCCTCCGCGACCAAACTCTCAGGTGGCCTTTCATTGTTTCATGAAATAAGCAGCTCCTGTCGGCTTTGATACCCCCACATCCAAGCACAGCACAGAGTGTGGTTTCACAACGTTTCCGGATAATTTTTTTCAATCATCTTAAAGTGTTTTTTTTTTTTTTTGTTAAATTAAAAAATTCAATATCCCACTCATGCAATACCATTTTTTATCTTTATATTGAAAACTTATATGTTGGTTTCTACGTAAAAAGATGTTTATAAACTAGCTTTTACCGTTTGTTGTCATGGTATACCCTTGTTAGATTTCGTTCGTATATTTGATAATGTTTTTTAAAAGTCCTATATGATGTGATGTTTTATATTTTATTTTGATTCTACATGGAAAAAAATTATACCTTTTAGTTTATATTCTTAACAATATCTTTTTTCAATTTAATCCACATGAAAAAAAAATCTCTGGCATTGTCATAATATCAATAAATGATGGACTAATTTGTAATATATATATATATATATGTTAGAATAAAAAATATAGAGTTTTTATGTAGTAATTAAACAGAACTAGTACCAAGAATAAGAATTAAAATTTTTAAGTTAACCTATTTTAAAAGTAGTCTTGCTAAGGGTATTAGTTAAAAGAATTAAAAAAAATTATGGAAAATCATAGTAAAAATCATGATAAATGTACATTTAATAAGATTTTAATAATTTTCTTACAATTCTTTAATTAATGCCTTAAAGGTATTCATTATCATTTTAAATAACTATTTTAAAATAAAAATAACTATAATAAGATATGTATTATAAGAGTACCAATAATTACTTATGTTCCAGACCCACTATCTAATACATATATAATATTGATACAAACAAAAATATTAGTTAAAATTTTAATTTATGTGCTATAGAAATAGAAGAAATATCAACGATTATTTATATTTATTTTGAAAATTTTAATAATCTGGCTTTTTGTGTTTTTTACTTTAACTATAATATAAAGGGCCTATGTACATCAAGCGTGTGTTTGGTTATGAATTGGCTCAATATGTTCATATAGTAGAGTGAAGAAAGCGAAAATTTACATGTGTGCAAACATAAAATCCAAAAATCCACTAATTAACTGAATAGCTTAAGTGGGTAATTTGAAACAATAACTTAGCCATATTTTGAAGTTCTCTTTCCTCTTTCTCTTTTCCCTCATCTAGCATTGTGACATCCCTACAACTTTCGGTGATACTTGATTACAATTTGAAACTTAACTTATAATGATGAAGTTTGCTGGATTAAAACAATCATGTGGGATTCCTTTATTCTTTATAGCTCTATGGGACTAAAGGGTTGTGCTCATTTGGTTTAGGTTCACAAGCACACAACGTTTGGACTAACTTTTCAGTATATGACGAGAAGATTTAAAAGGCTATAGAAATACCACAACTTCACACTTTAAAGCAAAAGGTGTAATTTATATGGCTTTTTGGGTCATGCCAATTAATGTCTGCACAAACTAATTAATTAATTATAAGTGGTTTTGTGGGGACGTTCAATATCTTCAAAACGTGGGATTATATACAACACATGATGACTATCTAATCAATATGCAAGGTTTACTAGAATTAATGGCCAATAACGGCAATAAAATGATGGAGAATTGAATTAAGGAACTTAAATTTCGAAGTTGCTATTGAAAGCACAACATTATTAACTCATGTACGGGCTAGCTTTATTCATCATGTAACGGTTCCAATTGTTGTCAATGGGATCGACAATTCACTGTTTCCTTTTCTTTTCTCCTTTTTTCTTTGTCTTAAAAACTGAAAGGTTACATTTTTGTTTTGTAATTCCCTATGCCAAACCAGTATTTGATTTGTAGAATACTAAATTGTGATTATGTGATTCTAGATGCAGCCTGCATGTGTAATTATGAAGCGCCAGAATAAGCACACACACAGGACATTACAAAACAATATATATATATATATATATATATATGACTTTTTATCTAAATAATACAATTTTAAAAACTAATTCTCAAAATAAAATTTATTTAAAACTAATTCTATGTCTAGTACAATTTTTTTTTTATGTCAACACTAGTATCAGCTATGCATAATGATAGTATTTTTTTTATTTAATAAAGTATTGATCATCCTATACCGATACACATTTATACCTTAACATGTAGTGTCATCACATTAGTATTGGATAGAAGAAAACGATATCAGTATTGGCGGTCAAAATGCATCATGACTATCATGTAGAAGTGGACGATACTGCTGTTGTAATAACTTTTTTAACCGAAGGAAGAAAAAAGGTTGCAAAGGCAGAGAGTGAAAGGGTGGTGGAGACGAAGGCAAAGAGGAAGAATTAGAGAAACCATAACTGAATCGAACCGAACCTTTATCTCCAAAAATGAGTGGGCAAATAACGAGGAGAACCAATGCTCCCTTAGAAGGCCACCGTCTTTGTCCAAGAAATCCAAAAACGGAACCTTAGCGAATGTTATGTCCCACGAAGATGACCAAGCTGATGAGCTAGACTTCGAGGATCCATATGAGAATACCTAACACATAACTCCACTAAGGCCCAAAAGAAATAGAATTAGGCCCAAATACATGAAGGATTTTATTATCAATTAGCACTAGAAGCTTCTTGTCACATGGCTGCGCAAGAAGGGGAATGATTCATCATTTGGTTACAATTTTGTTGCATCATATTGCTTTATGTTAGCATCTTTTTGCAACACGTTAAATTCCTTCTAGATTATATACCTCTTGGTTATATATTGGAAGGAAATCCA